AGTTTATTCAATTTACCTATAGTGCATGTCTTTGGACTGTGGGGGAAACTGGAGCACCGGAAGGAAACCCACACCAACACAAGGAGAACATGCAAACTCCACATAGAAATACTAATTGACCCATCCAGTACATGAACCAGTGACCTTCTTGCTGTGAGGTGACAGTGTTGCTCACACTCTCAGAAATAAAGGTACAGGAGCTGTCACTGTGGCAGTACCTTTTCTAAAGACATGTTTGTCCTTGAAGGGTCCATAATGGTACCTCAAAGGTACGTTTAAGGTACATTTGGGCATTAAAATGCACCTTTGAGGTATCATTGTTGACTCTTTGTGTATCTTTTGAAAAGGTACTGGCCCAGTGACAGCTCCTGTACCTTTATGTCTGAGAGTGCAGCATAAATTACATTTTAATGATGAATTAAAAGTATTTAAAAAAATTATGTGTTGTTGAAAATCAGGGATATTCTACCAAACAGTGATTTCATAACTCTTCTGATGCTGAAATATTGAAATACCTATTCAATAATAAAGTTAGAAATAACCTGAAATAGCATCTCTGTTCTCTTATTTTGAGACATTGCTTTAAATTTAGAAGTGGTTAATCTGTGCTTCCCTTTGGGCATTTGTATATTGACCTTATTCTTCAATGCGGAAGTGCGCTCGTTTTCAAGATTGTTTTAGAACTTTAGTTGCCTATGGAAGAAATGACTAGGAATAATAAACGGCAGAAAACAGTCAAACTATACTTTCTCTACAAACAAGTGTTGCATGACAATACAGACAAAGTAGAATAATATAATAATAATAAAAAAAAAAATCTGTTTGCAACTTCACGCAGCAGAACGAGTTGTTTTTGATATCTAAAAATGAATGGAAGTGAATGAGACTGAAAGTCCCGAGCCAAAATGCTTCAAATGGCTGCGCCCGCTCGACCGCGGAGAAAAGGTGAATATAAAGCGTGTTATATCATATTCAATTATGTGTGGTTTTAAAATGCCACCAACGCACAACCACACTATTACATTCTTCATTACAGCCACTATATCTCCCATTATAACCATTTAAAACCTTTACAAGTTCTTTGATGGTTTTCATCGTACCTTTGATTTTCAACAGGGAGTAGAAACCATCAAGGAAGTTTAAACCAATACAAATGCACAATCTGATATATTTAATTATGATAAAGGTAATTTAACATTCCATTATAAATATCAGAACCCAAAAAATATCCAAAAGGAACATTTTAGTTCCAGTTAAAAACAATACAATTCCACGTTTAAAAACCATTACTAATTCTTTCCATTTTAAATACTTTTTCAATAATTTTTTTCAGCAGGGAAAAATCGTTAGCTCTAATGATGGTTTTATTTTTAAAATTTAGCAAAACAGAATAATTTAGATTTACCATGCCTGCTGACAAACAAACAAACACAAGAAACAAACGAAATAAAAACAGCTATTAAAATGCATTTGGTTTCCACTGCAAATCCAATTAAAACAAAACAAACAATTAACTTTTAACCATTAAAAACCAGAGCATTTTTATTTCATTTTGGACCATACTCCATTTCAATTTAAATGTTTTAACATGCCACCAAGTAAGGGCAAAAATGCCAATTGAGACCCAAATGATCATCACAGTTTCCATAAAAAAATAAATAAAATAAAAATAAAATAAAATAAAATAAAATAAAATAAAATAAATAAATAAAACAGTACAATTACCATTATAACCATTGAAAACATATTTTGACACACAGTACAGTACAGTACAGTACAGGATGTCTTGCAGGCATGATGTTTACGAGTACATAAAATAGTTGTGCATTAATAAAGAACTGTGGAGCACAATAATCTAAAAATAAAACATTTTTAAATTTGCTTACAGGAAAATAAGTTTTTTATATTACAATCAGGGCTTGACATTACAGTTTTTCTCAGTGGCTTTGGGGCATTTCTCACAACACTATTTACATTTGCACAACAGTTAATGCATTTCTCAAAACAATTAATCATTTGTGTACATCAGAGTAGCAGTTTCTCATTCCTTCCAACAAATTGCAAATGCTTTTGGACGTGCATTAACTGCTTTCATAAAACTCTCTGCTGTTTATAACATTATGAATCGCTTATGTAATATCAGTCAAAATGAACTAAACTTGTAAATGCTGAATAGTCATTTCATTTAAACTAATAGTCCTCATTTCATTTTACAGAGTAAACCGTCATAATGAAAACATGAAAAATCCATTTGGCTATCTTGTTCATGAACAATGGTGTCAGGACTTTTTATCTTGATGACATCGACACTTTATTGACACGACTACTTGATTTTAAGAAACGAGCTCTCCATTTTGAGCAAGTGACACACTTTTGCAGGTTATCAACAAGATTTTGCAGTTTGTACTAACTGTTTAGAGGAATGCATTAACTGTTGTGCAAATGTAAATAGTGTAAGAAATGCACAAAAGTCACTAAGAAAAACTGTAACATCTGCCAACCAGCCAAATGTGGGTAGATTTCAGCTGTGGCAGGTTGGACAGACACCCTTCACTAGCCACTTTGTCTGGTTGAAAATTGTTTTTTAAATTGCCAGAAGTGCCTCGTCCCTAAAGATTTTTAAAGAATTTTAAAGAATTTTAGTTAAAGACCCTTTGTCAATTTGTGTGCAAATGTGCTCTTAAAATGAAGAATCAGCATAATTGATAACTAATAACACACGAGCATAAGAAAGCAGGTGAATACAGAATAAGAGGATGATCAGGTGCATGGTCAAACACAGGCAATAACTATCCATTTATCTATAATTACCTGATGATCTGAGACTTTTAGCCTGGACAAACTACTTTGTATAGTTTTAGATCAGGGGTGTCCAAACTCGGTACTATGGCCAGTGTCCTGCATAGTTTAGCTCCAACTTCCTTCAACAAACCTGACCTAGTAAGAGCTTGATTAGCTGGTTCAGGTGTTTAATTGGGGTTGCAAGTTAAGTATGCAGGACACCGGCCCTCACGGACCGAGTTTGAGCAGCCCTGTTTTAGATAAATAAGAATATTTTTTCTTGAATAAAAAATATATATATATATATATATATATATATATATATATATATTATCCTTGTTTGGACATATTATTTAATTTTTGTGACAAGGAAACAATTAGTTTAGCATGGCCAGAAAAAAAAAAAAAAAAAACAAATCCATAGTGTTGAGCCGTAAAAAGTCATGAAAAAAGTTCATTTGATCTTCAATTACTAAGAGGAGTCATGTAGACATAACACAACATTGAAAAAAAAAATTATGTTAGCATGCCTAAATCAATTTCTGTATATAAAACATGTTTACCCAACAACAAAATTGTGGCTAGTTCAAATGGCGAGTGGCTACTAATATTGGAAAACTACTAGCTACAGTGACTAGTGATCAAACACAAAAGTTATTGTCAAGCCCTGATTACAATTATATGTTTATATTGTATAATGGTAATTGTTCTATATTTGATATTTTGTAAATGAGTTAATAAATCTAATTATATATTAAAGGTTTTCCACAAAAGAATTTCACTTTATTTTTTAGTTTTTAGTTTGGCTAAAATAAAAGCAATTTTATTTTCTAAACGTAAACTTTTTTAAGTTTAATATAAGCCCCCTATAAATACTGTCCATACCCCTCCCTCTCCCGCACCCCAATTGGCTACAGGAAAAAACAAATGACTAGCCTTAGTTGCAGTTAACCCAGTTAAGCTTTTAAATTGCTCTTTAAGCTAAATACAAGTATCTTTCAAAATTACTAGTAAAATATGCTATATGATACTAATTTGTTATTAGAAATTAGTTATTAAAACTACACTGTAGAAAATAAAAATGCTGGGCTCCACACAGTTCCTACATGTTGTCCCAACACAAATCAATTAAGTTAGTTTAAGATGTTTTTGTTTGTTTGTTTGTTTTACACAATTAAGTGAATTGAACATAAAACAATTACGTTGTCAGAAAAAAAAAAGAATTGTGCTGATTTCAGCTCATTGCAAGTAAATAGTTTGAAGCAGCAAATATATATTTTATATTTGCATATAGAGTGTATTATGTTAAAATAATGTTAAAAAAAAAAATCTCTTTGTTAAACCGCTCTTGGGAAATATTTGAAAAAATTGTTACACTTTCCAAGGACAGCTGTACCCACAGTGCTGTGTACAGTTACTTTTCTAAAAAGTAACTAAATGTGTTTCTCTCTTGCTTTTTAAGGAAATGTGAAAGTAGCCATACAGTTGAAGTCAGAATAATTGCCCTCCTGTATCAATTGTTTTGTAATTTTTTTTTAAAGCAAAGATTTTTTTTCAACACATTTCCAAACATAATAGCCTAGTTTTAATAGCTAATTTCTAATAACTGATTTGTTTTGTCTTTCCATGATGGCAGTACATAATATTTTAATAGGTATTTCTCAAGATACTAGTGTTTATTTATTTATTTATTTATTTATTTATTTATTTATTTATTTATTTATTTATTTATTTATTTATTTTAGTTTAGTTTAAAGGAGCTAAAAATTTAGACCTTAAAATGTTTGCTTTTATTCAAGCCAAAATAAGACATAATAAGTCAGGAGAAAAAATATTATCAGACATACTGTGAAAATTTCCTTCATCTGCTAAACACCATAAATAATAATTAAAAAAAAAAAATCTCAAGAGGGCTAATACTTTTAAATATAACTGTATGTGTTAACCTATATCATTTTTTCTTTTCTTTTTTTTACGATTAAGAAATGCTTAAGATTGTTTTATATCAACTTGTATCAAGTAACTTTACCCAACATTGAATACATAAATATATAATCAACAGTTGCAGTTCAAAACCTTTAATCAAAATTGTCTTAAAACTATTCAGCAACATTCATCGTTGTCTTGAACAATTAATAAAAAAATTTTTTTATTTACTTCAAATGTTGACCACTGTATATTTCTCCACACAAGCCATAATTAGCGAGAGCCAGTTTTACCTGTGGAGCAGATGTTGGTGTTGTGGCAGTCTGCGGCGGCGCTGTGGTGCATCAGCAGGGGGAGAGCAGCACCAGTGTCTCCACCTAAACCGCTGAAGGAGTCGCTGGTGCTGAAGGCCTGGCAGCTCATGACTCTTCATCGGCCACCGTTGTGACACAAAGACTGGGCAACTGCAGGTATTTAAGCGGAGCCCCTCTGACCCCTTCATCCATGTTAATGAGCCCATAGAACAGCCTCCTAAGGGGAATTGGGAAGAAGAGCTGCAATCTGATATGGGCTGTGTTTAAAACTGTGTGGCTTAATTCTAACAAACACCAGCGACTGCGCCGACAAACCGCGGATTAGGAGATTTAGGATTAATTAGCTGTGTTTACATTCACGGAAAGATGCAAGTGATGAAGATTGCATACACTGTAAAAATATCAGTAAATTAGCAATTTTCAGTATTTTGCGATTTATGTTTTTATTCCTTTCCCAGAGATGGGCTGTGGCTGGAAGGGCATTCGCTGCGTAAAAACTTGCTGAATAAGTTGGCGGTTCATTCCGCTGACAAGAAAATGAATGAATGAATGAATGAATGTTTTTATTCCTTGTTTTTCCCCCTTTGTTTATGTTTTAGAATTACGTTACGGGACATTGGTATTTCGTTTAACAACTTTTAATCTGGAACAGTTAAAAAAGGGACTTTTATTAACATTTGTAAAAGTTTAATGTGGTATAGCCTATTTTCTGGGTTGGTGTTGTAAATTATGATACGAAAACTTGTAATAAACTGCCAGTATTTTTTCTGTAACTTATCTCTCTCTGTATTAGGCTTTTTCTTATACATTATATTATTTCAAGCTACTAAAATGTCAATAAAAATCACTTTGTTAAACTGTTGAATTTCTAACATCATAAGTCCACAGAGCAGAGATCAATCAAGCTCCCATAATGCAATTCACAAACGTAAATAGACAGAAAACACTTTGAATTGCAAAATACTAGTTATTAAGTGGCGAAGCAGTGGTGCAGTAGGTAGTGCTGTTGCCTCATAGCAAGAAGATTGCTGGGTCGCTGGTTTGATCCTCGGCTCAGTTGGCGTTTCTGTGTGGAGTTTGCATGTTCTCCCTGCGTTCGCGTAGGTTTTCTCTGGATGCTCTGGTTTCCCCCACAGTCCAAAGACATGCGGTACAGGTGGATTGGGTAGGCTAAATTGTCCGTAGTGTATGAGTGTGTGAGTGAGTGTTTGTGAATGTTTCCCAGAGATGACTTAAGGCTGGATAAGCATCCGCTGCGTAAAAACACACGGGATAAGTTGGCGTTTCAATCTGCTATGGCGACTCCAGATTAATAAAGGGACTAAGCTGACAAGAAAATGAATGAATGAATGAATGTTATCAGGTGAATAGTTTTTTTTTTTTTTAACAGTCTACATATTGTTAAATGAATGAGTTAAATATTTTGATGTGTTGTTGGCACATTTTCATTTAGATTTAAAATAGGTTTATTAGTTGATGCATTAGTATTAATAAAAGGTAATACATTTGTCGCAGTATTTATGAGACATTGCTAATGTTAGCTCAGGTACATTAAGAAATATGAAAAGGTAACATTTGATTTTTAATCATTTATTAGTAGTAGTTTTACAGGTACATAAAATAGTTGTGCATTAATAAAAAAAAACTGTGGAGCACAATAATCTAAAAACAAAACATTTTTAAATCTGTTTACGGGAATATACGTTTTTGTATTACAATTTTTTAATTGTATAATAGTACATGTGCTTTAATTTATATTTTGTAAAGGAGTTAATATATCTAATTATATATTAAAGGTTTTCTAGAAAATAATTACCTTTTTTTTTCAGTTACCTTCTTATTTTCCCACACATTCACTACGAACAATTTAGCTTAGCTAATTCTTCTGTACCACATGAGTAGCAGTGCGGTATGCCTCGTGCCAATGCTTGCCTCCCACCAGTGCTGATATACAGCCATATAGCACTGCTACTCGTGTGATATTGCTCAAATACACACATACATAAAATATATATACAACTTTAGGTGACATGTAAAGGCTTAACTGGGTTAATTTGGTTAACTAGGCAGGTTAGAGTAATTAGGCAAGTTATTGTATAAAGATGGTTTGTTCTATCAAAAAAATATAAAGCATAAAAAGGCAAACAATTTTGGTTTTTTAAAAGGTTTTTAAAAAAATAAAAAACTGCTTTTATTCAAGCTGAAATAAATCAAATAAAACTTTCTCCAGAAGAAACAATATTATCAGATATACTGTAAAATTTTCCTTGCTCTGCCAAACATCATTTGAGAAATTTTTAAAAATGAAAAAAAAAAAAAAAAATCAAAGGGGGGCTATACTGTATATACAGTTGAAGTCAGAATTATTAGCCCCAGTTTATTTTTACCCCCAATTTCTGTTTAACGGAGAGAAGGTTTCTTCAACACATTTCTAAACATCATACTTTTAATAACTCATTTCTAATAACTAATTTATTTTTGTCATAAAAACAGGAAATAATATTTTACCAAATGTTTTTCAAGACACTTCTATACAGCTTAAAGTGACATTTAAAGTCTTAACTAGGTTAATTATGTTAACTAGGCAGGTTGGGTAATTAGGCAAGTTATTGTATAATGATGGTTTGTTCTGAAGACAGTCGAAAAAACTTTTTTGCAGATTTATAAAAAAAAAAAAAGTAAAATATCACGTGGTCCTAAGTATTCAAACCCTTTGCTCAGTATGAAGTAGAAGCCCCCTTTTGATCTAATACATCCGTGAGTCTTTTTGGGAAAGATGCAACAGGTTTTTCACTCTTGGATTTGTTCTCTGCCATTCCTCCTTGCAAATCCTCTCCAGTTCTGTCAGGTTGATGGTAAACTTTGGTGGACAGCCATTTTTAGTTCTCTCCAGAGATGCTCAATTGGGTTTAAGTCAGGGCTTTGGCTGGGCCATTTAAGAACAGTCAGAGATGTTGTGAAGCCAGTCCTTCATTATTTTAGCTTTGGCTCATTGTCTGTACAAGGTAAACATTTGGCCCAGTCTTAGGTCCTAAACACTCTGGAGAAGGTTTTTTTTTTTTTTTAAATAAATATAAAAATAAATAAAATTCCTTTGTTTGATTAGTTTTACTGTCTAAATCAGTAGTTTTATAATATGGCAGACTTAGCAATATAATAAATCCAATGAGCTCATTTAATGTTTGTTTAATGAAGATTGCACTTTATTACCACTGTATGTTTACTGAAGATGTAAATAAAACAAATAATATTTTAATTTTGTTTTAGAAGAAATAACATTTCACTTAGTACGTTTTAATACTAATAAATTTAACTTATTATACAAACCACTTCTCTGTATATTTTCACTGGAAATGTCAGAAGATTTTTTTCCAAATTATGTTCTTCAGTTTATAAAACTTTTAAGTTGGGGCTATTGTGATTTTGATTTATTCTTGATGAGAAATACAGCACAAATAACCACTAATGTTCCATGCAGTTTCTCAAATAACGTAAAAGCATAAAAAGCGTAATTTTAGTGCACCTGAAACATTTGAAAGCAATTTTAGATTAATTAAAGCACATCAAACTGCATATAAATAACAGAACGCCACACTGCTGGCAAAACACATTTTCTTTTCTAATAGAAAAATATGACAAAACCAAGAGCTGATTTGTATCTAAAGCTTCTGAAAGCACTGCTGTTGTCAAACTGAAATATATTCATCACCCAGATTGTTCTACAGAACACTTTCTGGTTTGGTTTAGTGTTTACCTGACCCCTGTGTGTTTCTGACCATCTGCTCGCCGGACAATTAGTTTTAGTTGCGCGTGTGCAGTGCATTCATGTGTTTGTCAATATAAGCCCCAGTCTTGAGACGGAGATGTTTGAACTTGTTTTATTTGTGTTTGGCTAAATGACTGAGAGCAGCTGCTCATCTGCAACACAACAGGCTGCTGAGTGTTCATAGTGTGAGCCTGAATGACAAATAATCACCTGAAGATTATTCTCTTATTGCAGACTAAGGAGGATCAGAGTGGAAACTGTGATTTTTCTGTTTTTTTTTTTCTTTCTTTGAGGATTTCCTTTCGTTTCCTATCCTTTCTTTCTTTATGGATTTCACTTTAAATGTCTGATTAAGTATCAGTGCACAATTTGTAAACAATTTAGATGTAAATCATAGATATGGGCTGTTATGTGATGTTGCATTTTCACCGCCACACATGACAAAATTTAACATAATTAGTATTGTCATCATTTAAAATGCAGTAAATGGTTAAACGTCCTCCATGGACCTCTAAAAAAAAGTGCTGCTATTAAATTGTTGAGCCAAATCTCAAAACTGTCCTATGGTCTGGATGTTTCTAGCATAAATTAATAAATTGCAACTCTTATAAATTAATTGCATTAATCGATGCCTAATTTTACAAGTGACTGTTTTAGTAAATCATCATTTTTCATCCATATATTTCTAAAAAAAACAGGAACTTAATACATTTTGTCACTGTCATGGACTCTTATGAACAGAGATGCCCAAAGTAATGCCCACTGGCCAATGCTGGCCCACTGTAACCTTTGATTTGGCCCACCATCCCATCTGAGAGGAGAGTCAGAATGATGGAGAGGGGTGGGTCAAATGACTTTAACACAGAGATCATCCTTTCTAATTTGACGTAACATTTTTTGTTAGTAAGAGGTCCATTTCATTGCTGCTTGCAGCTTTAATTGGTTTGTTTTATTGCTGAAAAAAAAACTGAAATAAAATGTCTCAATTAAATGTTGCAAATGAATTAGATTTTTTAAAATGTAAATAATGTCACTCAAAGGGTAGAAGACTATGCAGACATCAGTGAGCAAATCAAGACAAAAACTAGTGTAATTCTGTTATTAATGAGATGGGCTCCATGCACAGCTAGTGTTTTAAAGCCATTGATAAACTTCAAATGAAAGCTTAATGTGACTATTTTTAATTTCACAAGGATGTTTTTACAGCATCGATGTTGTAATGTAATTAAAATGCATTCAGTTAAATGGACTTAGACATTCATTTAGTTGTTCAAGCTTAAAATGAGTTGAAAGACCATTGTAACCACTAGTGGTCAGTAGCAACAGGCTAACACAGAAATTCTATTGAAAATACTGAGGTAAAATAAAC